TTTCTTCTAAATCTAAATATGAACTTAAAATTGGTATCCGATCATCTCAGAAAAGAGGACTGGGAATTAATTTAGGACCATGAATAAAAATGCATTGGTTATTCAACCATTTGCACAGTATCCAGCCAAAGCCATTTTAAAATTCACTGCAGCAGCATGCACGGTGCTAAAAATAACTGGACTCCAGAGCATGGGGCGAATCGTGCCATTGTCACTGTGGACAGTTCTCCTATTGAGAAAGTTCGCCGTGTACACACAACATAACAGTATGCTAACCTTTTTCACCTGCTATCACAACATCCAGATACATGTCCTTGGAACTACCTGCTGTGCTAAGAACTCTTAAATAAATCCCCGTAACCTAGATTCATATTTCCTTCATTTCCACTCCAGTGCACATTAAATCCGGCCTCGTCCCCTGTTAAGACAAGAAGTCTTCACCTTGTAGGTAGGAGTCAAGTCACAAGTTTTTCAACCTTGAGAGAGAAAAGCTCTCTAGACCGAATCTGTGTGACAGTGAAAGTTATAGAGTTTATATCAGGCCAAGCCAAGTCAAGTCAGACAGGCTTCAAGTCTTAATGATGAAGTAAACGAACTGTGATTTTAGTTTTACAGATTTTGCTTGTACATTGCAGCAACATCCTAAAAGCAGTTCACAAGTATTTCTAGCTATTTTTATAAAACATGTTCAGATAGCACACTTTTTTTTACACTTGTTTAGGTCTTTTAAAAGTCTAATTACATACGGACCCAGAGGACATCAATGTGAAGGCCTGAAAATAATGCATAAATAATGACTGTTTTCAGACAGTGCTCCCCCTGTTTATCATTGGTTGGACAAGCACATTCTCATCCCCCAAACATTGATGCAAAAGAGCAATGGTTTGATGGAGCCACACTTCAGAGGAAATCCACCTACAAAAGGCTTACTTATAGCTGTCTCTGCATATTAAGATTACAAGAGAGTATTTTGACACTAAAAGTTGCATCAGCTTTAAGCTTACACAAAAAATGTCAATGCTGAAAAATTAAAGGGAATTCAGATGTTCTGATTTGATCAAAGGTGGTACTTCACCTCAAAGGACTGACAAGCATTGATTCACAACAGCTAAAATATTCCTACCTTTCAACAAGATTAACCTTCAGCTAATAGAGAACAAAAGAGTCCTGGAACAAATTAACCGTCCATCTGTCTAAAGAAAGTCTGTTTCTTTCTTTCTTATTTGTTGCAGCAGAGTGTGTGTGGGAGGGTGGTTGGATGTGTAGACGATCTGGTGCGTTTTTAAGTTACCATCATTCAAAAGCATAAATAAAAGTATAAATAATCTTTTAACAGTTGTAAGCCAACAGTCATTTAGTAGATGCCTTTATCCACAGCATACTAATCATAGTGACAGTCCCATGGGACAAACAATAATTCTGACATTTACTTACCTTCATGTCATTCCATATCTTTTGTGTTAGAGTACATTCAAAATACTATATCAGTGCACTGCCATAAAGATGTAGTATGGCTTCAGAAGACTGAGAATATAGTGAAAGTCATCTGGAGCACTTCTATGGTTCCTTTATTTTTTGTCATTTTCGGAGCTTAACTTAAAAAACAATTCTCTCGATGGGGAATATGGCTACACATTGACAACAACAACAACACTCCTTAAATGGGTTTTTCGGGGGATGAAATCGAAAAATGTCGTCTTGCAAGAATCAATTGCCCACCAGGAATCTAATCAAACTTGCATTTTACCACAGAAAACACAGCAAACAGAAGAAGAAGAAAATCAAACTGGCACCAAACTAATACTAATTTCTAATCAGGAGCTTTAATGCAAGATAAAAAACAATCATGGTCAAAAACATATTAATCTTGGCAAAATGCAATGCATAAAGTAGTGGTATGAACATGATGGCACATTAAGCACAGCAGGTTTCTATGCAGGACAGCTTCCCCCCATCGAGTTTGTTGTGCTTGTATGATTTTAAATTGGCGCAAACTGTGTCCTTTACTGCCTTATCATGCCTTTGACTTTATCATGCCGCTGTCTTTTAGCCTTAATGTCTGTTGTGGTGCCTGCTGTGCCGGAAAGTGAACAATGGGGTGAACGCCTGTGACATTCACTGCAAAGGTCTCACAAAATCTGGGTCATAATCCCGGAGCCGCCGGTGCTGCTGGTAATTAGGTGTTACAATCTTTAGGATTGTGGAAACCCAGGGACCAAGAATTTAAATATTAGTAATCTGAGGAAGGGCATCTAGCCCAGTGTTTCCCAACCTGTTTTGATCTATGTACCCCATAAGCCCCATCAAGTCTACTTCCGTGTGGTGACTGTGTGCACATGTATTCCTCTACACAAGTTATCCACAAAAACCTACCACCAAGATGCTTACCTTACCAAGTTGTAGCAGCTACCAGATGGGATCATTTTAACTAAAGTACTTCTGTCTGGTGCCTGTTTTGCCGGAACACATCACCTTAACTAGCATAACCAGCAAGACTTAAATGGTCAACCAGGTTCACCAAAAAAACATGCTGTTAGGCAAGTTTTACCAGCTATGTTTTGCTTGTGATTTTAATGGTTAAAGTTCAATTTTACCACAGTAAAGACAGCAAACCATGGTCAAAAACGTATTAATCTTGATAACATCCAATGCATGATCAAGTTCCTCCAACCACCAAACCAGAGACGGGTTCATTTTAACTAATCTGTTTTGCTGGGATTAGCATTTGCCAGAACTAGCATAGCCAACAAAACTACCATCAGTCAATCAGCTTTATCAGAAAGACCATGCTGGTAGATATGTTTTACCAGCCAAGTTTTACAGGTGATCAACATGGTTGATCCAGTTGTTCCAACACCAAACTATCATAAACCAGCCTGAACCCCAAAGGAACGGTGGTCTAAGCTGGTCTTTTCAGTGGGGTAAACTACCTGCTTATAGTTGTGAAGGCGTTAATCATACAGAAAATTATGATAAAAGCCCCTAATCAAACTTGTCCCCAACATTGCATTGTAAGGTTAAACCCTTAAGCTTGGTTCTTGCTAACAGCTTGAGTCAGTCAGACTTCCGCAATTCAGTGGAACATCTTCAAAGGAGTTTGGCCACAAATTTATTTCTGTGCTTCTCATTCTATCAGCGTAAATTCAGGACAGCCTGACATCCACACATTTATGTGGGAGGTTATCATCCGTAGGCAATGGGATGCTCAGAGGGAAGGTGCACGCTGATCTGATTCGATAGTGGTGTGACTTGTTCACAGCAGTTTCCTTTGATAGTTGTTGAAGAATTGTGTGCAGATGCACAATGCATAATAATCTAAAACCAACATTCATGCTCCCCAACTGTCATGACAATTTTCTGCTTTTCTATTTGCTGCACAACTACAAAAGAAACATGCAAGAAAGATACATTAAACCACATCTTTTCTTGAGCTATCAAGAAGTCACTTCAAACGCTGCTCTCTAAATGCTCCAACCATTGATCATGTAAACAGCCATGTCTGTGCCCTCGTTCACTTTACATAGACACCATATAGTGCAACAGCATCACCTGGTTAAGAGATTCTAGATTTTCAAATTCAAGGATCTGATGAGGATGCTTGTCATTGGGGTTTAATTAACTTGAGCTCCAAACAGCACAGATAAATGGAGTGCTCTCAAAGCCATCTGGAAAAAAAGCCATTTACTAATTCACTGGAGCAAAAAGCAGACCAGAGCCGCAGAAGCGTAGCGACTGCTCCAGGGATAAGACCTGATTTTTAGAGGTGTATGCTAAATATTACTGTGATTTCTAGGTGTTTTGTGGCTTTTTAATTTAGAGGATAATTATTGACCAATATGGTAGTATATCAAATGAAAGATCATCCTATTGCCTGTTCTGATGGAAACAAAACCCTTGCCTTTGGACCTTGTTGAAGTTTTTCTAGAGCCTTTGGGAGATTATCCATGTTGCCCTCTGTGATATAAACATATTCAGTAAAATTAATCTCAAAGAACTTGGGAGGCACTGACTCGTAGCTACAAATATGAAATTGGCCTCAGTTGGATAACTTGGTTAAATCCATAAAGAACATAATTTCTAAAGTCTCTTGACAACTTTGAAATTGAATGCACAGGCTGAATGGCTGAAACTTGGCATGCACAAAACAAGAAAGTGCATTTTTGTGTTGTTTTTATAAGGATTTACAATTTAAAAACCCACCAAAAAAAAAACATTGAAATTATTGTAAACAAGTTTTAAAACATTCTAAGTTATACAGTTATACTTGTAAAAAAAAAAAAAAGCCATTTTGATGATTTAATCAATGTTGACAATGACACAGTAACCATGAATGTAGTCAAGAAAAATAAACAAATAAAAACACAAATCTTAAAGAGATAATATGCCTCAAAATTAAAATAGTTTCATTATTTGCTCATTCTTAAGTCCTTTCAAAGCTGTGTGACACTATTTCCTCCGTGAAACACAAAAAGAAGACATTGCAGAAAGTCCAGAGAGCTCTTTTTTAATAAAAGGGATCAGGGCTGATCACCATAAATGACAAAAAAAAAAGCACCATAAAATTGTCCACATGACACAGTTGCTACATTCCAATTCTTTCATATAAGAATTGATTGACATTTTCAAGATTTTCAGCTTATGATATAAACATATTCAGTAAAATTAATCTCAAAGAACTTGGGAGGCACTGACTCGTAGCTACAAATATGAAATTGGCCTCAGTTGGATAACTTGGCTAAATCCATAAAGAACATAATTTCTCTTGAGAATCAAAATAAAGTCTCTTGACAACTTTGAAATTGAATGCTCAGGCTGAATGGTCCAAGATGAAAACTTGGCATGCACAAAACAAGAAAGTGCATTTTTGTGTTGTTTTTATAAGGATTTACAATTTAAAAACCCACCAAAAAAAAAACATTGAAATTATTGTAAACAAGTTTTAAAACATTCTAAGTTATACAGTTATACTTGTAAAAAAAAAAAAAAGCCATTTTGATGATTTAATCAATGTTGACAATGACACAGTAACCATGAATCTAGTCAAGAAAAATAAACAAATAAAAACACAAATCTTAAAGAGATAATATGCCCCCAAATTAAAATAGTTTAATTATTTGCTCATTCTTAAGTCCTTTCAAAGCTGTGTGACACTATTTCCTCCGTGAAACACAAAAAGAAGACATTGCAGAAAGTCCAGAGAGCTCTTTTTTAATAAAAGGGATCAGGGCTGATCACCATAAATGACAAAAAAAAAGCACCATAAAATTGTCCACATGACACAGTTGCTACATTCCAATTCTTTCATATAAGAATTGATTGACATTTACACACTATGACTGCCAAGGACTTGGCAATCTTCTTATCTCTCGAGAGACGCGCAAGGTGTCCTCCGCTTCTGCAAGGGGCGCATGGATTTGATGCTTCCTGCGCTCGTATAATGCGCGTCTGTACCCAACCGCTCAGCAACCCTCGCTTTTTAACGGTGGTCTTCATTGTCAAAGATACGGAGTGGGTGCTGCTGGGATCGCCGCTGGACGACGGCGAAACCTCTTCGTCGTCTTCGATCACGTCCGAAACGGCCGGCGGCCCACTTGAGGACACCTTGCGCGTCTTGACGAAGAAGACAGACGAGTTCTGTCCGTCGATGACCCTCCAGCCGTCCTCCTTCTCGGCCTCCACATGCGCCAAGCGACTCCGGTTCCGGCGCTGGATGTTGAGATAGATGCTGAAGTTGAAGAAGGCCACGGAGATGAACGGTGAGAAGAACTCGAAGGTAGACGCGGACAGCAGGAAGTACCAGGTGCAGTAAAACTCAGCGAAACATTCGTCCTCCGGAACGATGCTTTCTCCAACCATCAGTTCCCAGAAGATGATGGCTGGTCCGTAGAGGAGGAATGCCAAAACCCACACCGCCAACATCTTGACCACTGCCAGACGAGTGACGCCCTGCTGGGCCCGGTACCTCACCTATGGAATAAGACGAAAGATTAAAGTCAAACCAGAGAGAAACATAAAATAGTCATAAATTGGCACTGGAGTGATCCCTGGCAGCTATCGCGCTCAATAATGTCTATGCACAGTGTGACTGCCTCTTCTTCTTCTTCATGATTTATTCAATTCACAGCCTAGGATTCTGAGCACAGCGAGGAAAAAGAACGAATCTCTGTACTGCAGAACTGATCGGTTTTACTGTGGGCTAATGATTTTTACCAATTCGATTAATGTGGCTATTATGAGTTAATCAGTGATTAGTCTGATGACGTGAAATTACAATTCACATTTAATAAAAGATCAAGACGAGTGACTAAACCACTTTACACCATGAATACCGTTTTTTCCTACCCTGTTCAAATTGTGTCTGTAGCAACAACTTCCTGTGGCTCTGTTTCAAAACCTAGCAATCTGCTTTTCTGTCTACGGCCTTCATAAAAAGAGAACGGGAAATAGGAGGATTTACACAAGTAGTCTGAGATTTATAACCTTGTAAATCCTATATTAAATAATAGTCAGAAAAATCAAATTTTTGAAATGGAACAGTTCACAGAACCTTCAGACGAAATATTTTTAAAAATTGCATACATGTTTTTCTTGAGTATCATATTTGATAGGCTCATATAGTATAGAGAATATGGAGGAAAAAACAGTTCAATTTTATTCAGAGGCCCAAACTGAGCAAAACTATGCAATTTGGTGCAGATGCTGATAGATGAGATTCTGAAAGCTTGTAATGTAAATCAGTCAGATCTTTATAGCAGATACATAAAATTATATAAATATCAGTTGTCATAATATATCTTAGTAGGATGATATTTAAATGCTGGATTTTATGATCAAAACTTATAATGCAATTCAAGACAATGAGAAATAAACAAATTTGTCTAAAAAAATGATGTCTGGATAATCAAAGTGAAGCTGCTTCAGTCCAGTAAATGTTCATCTTGAAATATTACTAACAATATCAAAGTTATTTTTACATTTACTTTATAAAAATCAGTGAAGATTTCACAGCAAGAAGCACTAGCTGAAGGGTGAACGTTTGTACAATTATACTAAAAGACCTTTTACTTGCTAAAAAAGTATAAACTATCAATCATGTATTTCAAAGTTTCGATCATGTTGATAATTGAGAGGCCTTTGAAATGAACTGTAAATCTTCTGAAATATAGCAGTGTATAATTGACAAGCATAATTGTCTCCGCTGACGGACAGTGTGACAACAAGGCTGTCTTCACCATCGCACCTCGCTCCAAAGTCTAGCTCGAAAACACTTTCCATTTCAGTAATTTAAAAATGACAATTGGAAAGATGACAACCAGAGAAAGGAATCATCTATTCGTAAAAGACAGGAGCCCTCAAGGGTGTTTTCTTGTTATGAACTAATGCCATTTCAGCCCTGAAATTACGGCAAATAATAGTCTTTAGGGAGAGTTAGGAGCATGACGGTAACAGTACCTAAAGACAAACATCACAGCGTTTAACGCCCTTGAACTGGATTCTGGGGAACTGGAGCTAGTAAATAAGTTTTGTTGACATGATGCCCATTTCAGTTTTGATGTGCCGCCCACTCAACAAGTACTATAGCATTTTTATAGAGGCGAAGCTTTTGAAAAAACAAACACATTTGTCCAGATTATATTTCACCCCCAAATCAACAGAATGTAAGAAATTATGATAACACTTTACTTAGAGCCTTTATGTATAATTCATTATAGAGGTATGTATAATGTGCATTAAAATGCATTATATTTTTTCATAAATAAGTGTAATTAATGCTGAAATGCATAATAATATTAGCAAATTCCTTGTTACATCTGAAATTGTTTTTAATTATATATATATTTTCTAAAGGTGTATTATAATGTGTTGTAAATGTGGTTACAGTTATTCATGAGGACATACAATATATTAAAAGGTGCATCACAAGGCATATTTGATGCACTAAAAATACTTTTATAATGCGTTATAAATAAAGGCTTTAAGTAAAGTGTTACCACAATTATATTTTGCCTACTTCAGATTCAAATAATCATTTAGATGTTGTTTAAACACATTTCCCACTAGTTATCATCGTTTGACTTTGGATTATTGTAATACTTTTATTGTAATACAGAACATACTACCATAATGTATAAATACTTTATATTTAAATATTAATAATTCATAAAGACAATACATTTTGCATTATAATAACAAACATTTGAAGCAATGTTCAATTGTCATGAAAATCTCACTTAAAAATCATAATGTTCTAAAAATTGGTTTTATGTAATATTTTACACGTAACCATTTAATTATTAACAATAATTGTTTGTTTTGTAGTGAAATATACAGATTCACCTACAAATATGCACAAAAATATTCTACCTGTAATAGTACTTTTGAGTTGACGTAGAGGTGTAGATAACAAAATTAGGATTGGGGATTGTTGTTATGAAAATCCCCATGCAGTACATATACTCTTGGCATGGAAAAACCTACCGCCTGTGCCTTCTACTGTAGAACACACTTATTAAGGAAAGAACCCTCTCGGAGTTAAATAATTCACCTCCAAGGAGAATAATTAAAGCCAAATGAAGTCAGACATGTTTGTCAAATGCCACTGATACTACCACATAAACTGCTACTTTCAATTACTGACAAGTCTTTTTGAAATGTCATTTGAAAAGCATTTTACTTTGTCATTTATGATGGATCGTTACTCTTTCAAAAGCAATGACAGATAAAGCGCATATATGTTGTCAACAGGAAGTAAAGACATTAAACAATGAGTACTTCATTGCATTACATTTTAATGCATTATGCATGAAGCCACGTAATAAACTGCTGAGATGCAATTGCATAATCTATTATAAGTTACGCTTCAGATATTCAGTCACAAGCAGCTAAATTACCTTTCAGCACATCTGCAGGTTCTCGTAAATTTGATATTGGAGCACATAATGTTTCTTAACGATTTTGATACTATATTCTCAGCAGGAAATCAATATTTGCGTTTCATATTTTGCTCAAATTCTATTCTGGAATGTCAAAAGCCGCTTGAAATAATGGCTGAGAAATGGGCTTCAACGACGTCATTTTCCGCTCACCGCAATCGTCTTTCACAGTAGGGCATCGTTCCCATGTTTTCTGAGCTTATTTTGCTCAACAGTTTCTGTGAATGTGAGGAGCGGTTATTTAAGGACCTCAAGAACCCAAATTCGACATCGTTTCGTTGTTTGCAATGGAGATAAATGCACACACTGAATGGAAAAAATATTGAACTTCCTTCCCCTTCCTTCCTTTTATGATTTCACCAGAAGAGCTGGTGTGCAGCCACGTGGTTTTTAAAGCTGACAGCCACTTCAGATCCAGCTACTTTAAAACTGTACAAGCAACTCATGATTTAAAGTAGTTAATCGATGGGCAGCTACTCCTTACAGTCTGGAGCTTGACAACCTGGATCCTCATTCGCTTCCAGTTTCTGGAAATTATAAAAATGGTTCATTGGGAAATTTGGATCAAGTTAGCTTTATAGGACAACCATTGTAGAGTTTTATTGCCCAATACAATGGTGATATAACACACAAAATACAATTAAATGACAGCAAATAAGACAAACACTTGTTTCACTCAATATCTACTCAAAATTCACAAACAAAAAGAAAACTGGACCAATGCACTTAAAAGGATAGTTCACCCAAAAATGAAAATTCTGTCATTCCTTGCTACGTTTCTGGACTTGGGAACATTTCAGTTGTGTTGCTGTCTATGCAGGGTCAGACACTCTCAGATTCCATCAAAAATATCTTCATTTGTTCGTTTCATTTGAAACGACATGAGGCTGAGTAATTAATGACAGGATTTTCATTTTTGGGTGAACTAACCCTTTAATGTACGAATTGCAAAATAAATCATTTATAATAGAATAAGTATGCATGACCGTTTCTGTGGATTTGAGAGGTTTGGCATACTGGTTTTGTATTCCTTGCAGGAAATAAACTTTTGTTGTTGTTGTTGTTGGGAGTGGTCTAATCACGCTCCTGGTTTTCAAGATGAGGTCAAAGCAGACAAAACCAGAGAAATGTGGTTTATTTGTTAATCGATGGGCAGCTACTCCTTAAAAACCAGTTACAAACCACAAAAGACAACTACATAAAAGCAATTCAAGTGCCCGGTATTTTTACAATATATATCTTTCAAATGATAAAATTTAATCAGAGCCGTATTTATCTGGCTCAAAAACAAGGGATTTGAATGAATGAATCTTGATTAGAGTGACAGCATTAAACTTGGACAACCTCGAACGAACCGATACACTATAACAACTTGCCAGTGCTATATATGAGAGAGATAGAAGCGCATAATAGCTGTCTGTAGCGTGCCAGTCATAAACCTGAATTCAGTCAAGCCACTAGAACGACTAGAGACGGAAACTTAAAAAAACACTTGTGCAACAATACAGTGGTGCAGTACAATACAGGACCAAAAAGTACTTCCTGTTCTTTTTACATTCGTTACAAAGAAAACCCATCTTCTAGTGAGCTACTCAAGTATTTTAAGGCATTGTACGTGCACTTCTGATGTTCTAAAAGGCAGGAAGCATAATTATACTGCATTGCATGCACTCTTAAAAATAAAGGCTCTTTATTGCTGTCAATGTTTCTACACTCTAAAAAATGCTGGGTTAAATACAACCCAGTGCTGGGTAAAATAGGGACAAACCCAGCAATTGGGTTGTTTTGACCCAGC